GGCTCCGTGAGGGTCCGTGAGGCTCCGGTGAGGGGTCTGTGAGGGTCGTGAGGGCTCTGAGGTCCGTGAGGGTCTGTGAGGCTCGTGAGGGTCCGTGAGGGTCGTGAGGCTCCGTGAGGGTACGTGAGGGTCATGTAGAGGCTCTGTTGAGGGCTGTGAGGCTTCGTGAGGCTCCGGTTGAGGCTCGTGAGGGTCTGTGAGGGCTCCGTGAGGCTCGCGTTGAGGGTCCGTGAGGGGTCTGGTGAGGCTCCGTGAGGGACCGTGAGGGCTCCGTGAGGGGTCTGTGGGGCTCTCCGTGGCAGGGGTGTGTGAGCTCCCGTTGAGGGTCTGTGTAGGGATCCGTAGAGGCTCGGTGAGGGTCGTGAGGCTCCAGTGAGGGGTCCGTGAGGGTCTGTGAGGGTCCGTGAGGCTCCGTGAGGGTCTGTGAGGCTCCGTGAGGTCCGTGAGGGGTCGTTGAGGCTCGTGAGGGTCTGTGGAGACCCGCTACGTGAGGGTCCGGAGGTTGTGAGCTCCGTGACGGGACGTGGAGGCTCCGTGAGGGTCGTGAGGCTCCGGAAAGCTCCGTGGGTCGTGTGAGGCTACGCGTGAGGGGTCTGTGAGGGTCCGTTGACGGCTCCGTGAGGGAGTCTGTGAGGGTCTGTGAGGCTCCGTGAGCTCCGTGAGGGTCTGTGAGGGCTCCGGTGAGGCTCGGTGAGGGCTCCGTGAGGTGTCCTGTGAGAATATATATATAATCTCCAATTTTTGTTTATCCATTTATCTGTTAATGGACAGTTTGATTCTGCCTTTTGGCTACAGTAAATAATGCTTCTGTGAACATTGACATAAAAATATCTGTTTGAGTCTCTACTTTCAATTTTTTAGAGTGTACTCCTAGATGGGGATTTGCTGGACCATAGTTACCTGATGTTGAACTTTTTAAGGAAATGTCATACTGTTTTACACAAGGCTGAACATTTTAAATTTTCACCGTCCATGCACAAGGGTTCCAATTTCTCCACGTGCTCACCAAAACTTGTTATTTTCTGTTGTTTCTTTCTTTTTATTTGTTTTGATAATAGCCACCCTACTTGGTGTAAAGTCATATTTTAAAATCAGTGAATTATCAATGATTGTGAGCATCTTTTCATGTGGTTATTTGCCATTATTCATTTTCTCTAAAGAAATGTTTATTTCATTCCATTGCTCATTATTTAATTAACTTGATTGTTTTAAGTTTTAGAAGTTAACTTTATGTACTGGATATTAATCCCTTATCAGATATATATTTTGCTAATATTTTCTCCCATTCTGTGGTTTTCCATTTCAGTATTTCATAGCGTCCTTGGGCTCAAAGGTTTTTTTGTTTTTTTTTTTTAATGAAGTCAAATTTATTGATTTATTTTTGTTATTGTCTGTGATGTTGGCATCTTATCTAAGACGTTTTTGCTAAGTCTAATGTCATGAAAATTTCTCCTTATGTTTTCTTCTGAGAGTTTAATAGTGTTAGCTCTTATGTTTAAGCTGTTGATCCATTTCAAATTATTTTTCCATTTGGAGTTTTAAAAGGGTCTAATCATATCCTTTTGCATGTGGATCTCCAGTTTTCCCAATACCATTTGTTGAAAAAAACATTCATTTCCCTATTGAATGACCTTGGCGGCTTTATTGAAAATCATTTGGTCATCTATGTGATGATTTATTTCTGGGCTCTCTAATCTATTTCATTGGTCGATATGTTTGTTATTATGCCAGGGCCACCCTATTTTCATTACTATAGCTATGTAGTAAGTTTTGAAATTAGGAGACGAGTTCCACAACTTTATTCTTCTTTTTTAAGACTCATTTACCTATTTGGTGTCTCTTAGCCTTCCATATGAATATAAATCATTATTATTTTTAATTTATACATAAAAGCAATACTTATTTTATGGAGTAAAGTGTGATATTTCAAAATATATGTAAAATGCATAATGATCACATCAAGGTAATTAGCAAATCCATCACCTCTAACATTCAATAGGACAAAAATAACAAATGCCAGTAAAGATGTAGACAAAGGTGAATTCTTCTATACTGTTGGGGCGAATGTATATTAGTACAGTCATTATGTAAAACAGTATGATCATCCTTCAAAAACTAAAAATAGAAATACAATATGATCCAGCAATCCCGCTAATGGGTATCTATCCAAAGAAAAGAAAATTACTATATCTAAGAGATATCTGTACTGTCACATTTATTGCAACACTATTCACAATAGCCAAGATATGCAATCAACCTAGGATATGCACAACACATACACTACTTGACTATGAAAAAAGTGAATTCCTGTTTTCATGTCAAAGTGGATGAGCATGCAGAACATTATGTTAAGTGAAATAAGCCAGGCACAGAAAGATAAATACTGCATGTTCTTATATGTGGAAGCTAAAACAATGTCTTTAAGTATTCAGCAATGTTTTAGAATTTTCGATTTATAAGTCTTTCCCCTCCTTGGTTATGTATATTTCTAAATCATTTATTTTTTGGATAAATAAAATTTTTCTTAATTTCCTTTTTTGGATTGTTCATTATTAGTGTGTGGACTTGCAACTGATTTTTCCACGTTAATATTTATCCTGCAACTTTGCTGAATTCATTGATTAGTTCTATCAGGTGTGTGTGTGTGTGTGTGTATGAAATCTTTAGGTTTTTCTACTTAAAAGATCATCTGCATAAAAGATTATGTCATCTGCAAGCAGATCATTTTACATGTCTCTTTACAATTTAGATGTCTCCTTTTCTTTCTTTTCTTTTTTCTTTCTTGCCAAAATGTTCTGGCTAGATCCACTATTATGTTGAACATCAAGTACAAAAGTGGCCTGGTATAATACAATTTGTAATTTATTTATTGGTTTTATGTTAATTTGAGGAAATAACTACAAAAAGATAATTTTCACTTATATTTGATGTCTTCATATTGTGAATGACTTAATCATATATTTTGCTGATATTTTTGTAAAAACAAGAAGCTATAAAGCCAGTTCCAATAGAAAAAGGTAAATGAGGCAAAAAGCTAAAATATCCAGGTGACTAATCACCACTAGAACATCCACTTGGACATAACAGAGCTTTACAATGGATAACAATGCAGGTAAAATATTTATTTTGCAGGTTATTCTGATAAACATTGTAACAAAGATTCATAACAATTTCTAAATTATATTTGAAACCTAAACAAAATTAATTATCTCCTAGTTGTTTTTTTTTTTTTTTTTTTTTTTTTTGAGACAGAGTCTCGCTTTGTTGCCCAGGCTAGAGTGAGTGCCATGGCGTCAGCCTAGCTCACAGCAGCCTCCAACTCCTGGGCCAAGCAATCCTTCTGCCTCAGCCTCCCAAGTAGCTGGGACTACAGGCATGCGCCACCATGCCCGGCTAATTTTTTTATATAATATCAGTTGGCCAATTAATTTCTCTATTTATAGTAGAGACGGGGTCTCGCTCTTGCTCAGGCTGGTTTCGAACTCCTGACCTCGAGCAATCCGCCCGCCTCGGCCTCCCAGAGAGCTAGGATTACAGGCGTGAGCCACCGCGCCCGGCCTTATCTCCTAGTTTTCGAGAGGAAAAATCTGTGCCATCATCTAACCATTCATAGTAAAACATTAAAAATAATATAGAAAATCCCTCTGATGGGGATTTCAAGTCAATCCCAGCTATAGGTATCTTCAACAGATCATGTCAAAGCAAACACCCTCAAACTTTTTATTTCTTGGAGTTATTATTGCTTAGATTTTATGTTGGAATGCCAGAATATTTTTACAAGAATTGAGTAATATCAGTAAGAAGTCCTTCAATTTGAGTATTGCTTGTGCATATATAACAAATCATTAATTATTGTTTTTTCTCATACTTTATATAAAATTTGTAAATTATTCTACAATTTTTGTTTTTAATTTAGTATTGTGTAAATAAAACCTGCCAGAAAGCTCACTTATTGGGAAATCACTGCAATGCCACTACAAAATGCAAAGGGAATGGGGTAAGTAACTAACTTTGCCTTCTGTGGTTCTAAATTGCATGTTATTATTGTGGGCTTCACCAAATAAACATTTATACTGTGTGCCAGGTTTGGGAGCATAAGTCACTTTTAAGCTGACCTTGCCTAGGTCTAGCTCACTAAAATAAAGGAAACCAATGGAGCTAATTTTAATACTATAACACTATTAAGTGAATTGTACTAGATATGTATTTAGTTTATTTTAAGCACCCACGACTCATGAATCAGTAATATGTTTAAATGAAAAAAAATTAATACAAATAAATATATGCTTTCCTTATAGTGTGAACATATTTTGTTCTCCCCCATACACTTAATAATTGAAGTATTTAGATTTTTAATATTACAGAGTATACTTAAAGAACATGGTGACATGTTAGGGAATATTTTTATTGTTCTAATGAAGAGGCTTCCAATAGAAAATGCGACCTCATGAAAAAAACTTTTTAATTTTTCTCAATTGTTTATTTATTTTAATCTGGTAATATAAATTTGTTCTTACTTTTATATTGAATTACCATCTCTTAAAATTTATAGTTTTAGGTTCTTTGTTTTAGTCTTTCTCTAAAAGAATATCAATGTATGATATAGTCAACATTATATGCATGAACCCCTAATTCAAAAGAATTTATTAGTATTTAATTTCACAATTTTTAAATAATTTGGATTTGGAAGATATAAATGCCACTACATTGTCACTAATCTGCTATGGGCTGCTAACAAAGAGATTAGCCACCTTTTTGTCTTTTGTTTTTTGCTTTCTGTAATTACAACTGTTCGTGTTTTTCAAATTCTTTTGTTAAATTTTCTGTTTTAATCCATTAACCTTAATTTTTTCATAAAATTTCAAAATAAAATTATACATTGTAGACTTTCAAAACTTTGTTTTATTGGATACTAGTGTGTTGTCTTAATCTATTACTATTTAGATTCAGTTGTTATTCTACTCAGACTTTTTAGATTTTTTTCTTTTTTATAAAACTTTTTAACTGTGAAATGTCACATTCATAAAGGCAATACATAAAAGAAAATTTTATATACATTCCTATGTATATTTCTCTATATATTTGTATTTTACAAGTAAAATGTTTAAAAAGAAAAACCATTTAAAAATAATTACAAAGTCAAGTAAAATTGGACTGAGTCTAGGTAAAGTTACATTTACTCTCAATGACAGATTTCAAAGATAGCTCTATCATTTATAATTTTATTAGTTAAAGTTTATTCATATATGTAGTTGTTCCAAAATATCATTAATCATCAAATATTATAGTTATAATGCTGTTTTTCTCTTTTCTTTAATTATACACTTTTTATTTAGATTAGTCTCCCTAGAAATTTATCCTTTCATTACTCTGAAATTTGTTGATCTGAGCATCAATATCACTATCAATATCAAGTAGTTAAGAAAAGAGCAATATTAAATTCAAAATTTTAGTGTGTGATTGAATATATGTGGTGAAAGAAAGATTTCAAGATTCATTCTTTAGTATAATACTTGTAAAAGATTTTTTTAATGATAATTTTCAAATTTAAAAAGTCCTTATGCACCTAAGTGGACATATAGGAGTAACATTTATCGGGTGTCGGGAGAGTGGGAGCGGGGAGAGGGGATGGGTGTATACAACCACAATGAGTGAGATGTGCAACGTTTGGGGGATGGACATGCTTGAAGCTCTTACTCGAGAGGGAGGGGGACATGGGCAATATAAGTAACCTTAACACTTGTGCCCCCATAATACGCTAAAATAAAAACATAAAAAAATAGAAGTCCTTATGTTTCTAATCTGGTTAATTTTTTTATTACTGATAGATGCTAAAATTTAATCAAATTTTTTTCTGCATCTATTGACCTTAACCTATAATTTTTTCTTTGTAATATGTTAATATACAAATACATTTACTTACTTTTTTAAAATGTAAAACCAACTTTATATGCCCAGAATAAAACCAACAATGATCTGTTTTTTGATTCAGTTTTTGAATATTTCTTTTGATATAATTGTTTCTGTTTTCTGAATGCTATTGATTGTCAAGTTTTATATTTTGTACTTAAGGTTTTTGATTGAATATCAAAGTTATGCTATTTTGGTGATTTTATTCATTATGTATTTTCTGTAGTAGCCTTTAAAAATAGTAGACATTTTTTAGAGCAATTTGGGGCTTACAAAAAATAAGTGCCAAGTACAGATCTACCATATATCCCCTAACTCCTCTACCCTCCAGTTTTCCCTATTATTTTTCATCTTGCAACATTGGGGTTAACTTGTTTGTTCTATAGATCTTAAAATATATATGACTGCATATTTCCATCATTACAGTATTATGCAGAAGAATTTTACTTCTCTAAAAATGCCCTGTGCTCCACATATTTAACCCTTCCTCCCCTGTTCCAAATTCCTACCAACCAATGATCTTTTTACTATCTCTTAATAATATTCATTTAAGATTCTTCCATGTCTTTTCATAGCTTTATAGCTCACTGTCTTTAGGCACTGAATAATATTCTGTTGCTCAGATGTACCACAGTTTGTTTATGCCTTCTCAACATTTTGGTTTCTTTCAATTTGGGGAACTTATGAATGAAGTTTCTATAAACATTCACGTGCCAGATTTTGTGTGGATTTAACTTTTCAAATCAGTTGGCTAAATGCCAAGGAACACAAAATTACTGGGCTGTATGGGAAGAGCATGTTTAGTTTTGTAAGGAATTGCCAAACTGTCCTTCAAAGTGGCTGTACCATTTTGCATTCCCACCAGCAATTAATAAAGTTTCCTGTCGCTTGACATCCTCACCAACTTTTAGTGTTTTCAGAGTTTTGGATTTTAAACATTCTAATTATTGCTTAGTGGTAACCCACTTCTATTTTAGTTTGCTACTCTCTAATGGCATATGCATAATAAAAAAATAGCATTTTTTATTATGCTTACTAGCCATCTGTGTATCTTTTCTGGCGAGGTGTCCTGATATTTTGCCTATCTTTAAAATTTGAGTTGTTTTCTTATTTTTAAGTTTTAAGAGCTGTTTGTACATTTTGGGCCTGCTGACTCAAAAGGATTCTATATTTTTGTTTCAGATATGTAATAATTTTGGTAACTGCCAATGTTTTCCTGGCCATAAGCCTCCAGATTGTAAATTCCAGATCGGTTCACCAGGGGGCAGTATTGATGATGGAAATTTTCAAACATCTGGTAAGTAGAAATTTAATTTTTAAAGCAAAATAGAATGTTCTCTTATATGGAGCTAATTAAAGAAATCTAAGATTCTTCTTGAATGGCATCTTTATTGAAATTACAGTAGTCCCTCCTTATCCTTGGGGGTACATTCCAAGACCCCAGTGGATGCCTGATACTGCACATAGTACCAACACCTGTATATGCTGTTATTTTTCCTATGCATACATACCTGTTATGAAGCTTAATTTATAAATTAGGTACAGCAAGAGAGTAACAACAATAACTAACTGCCCTTGCTATGTTTTATGCCATGGTGGCTTCTTCACATTTTTAGGAATATAAGTTCTATTGGACATCTTCTTCCAGAAGAGCCACTTTCATCACAATTGAAGACTTGCTTTGGATGGTCTACTTTCTTCTTGATTTAATTCTTTAACTATGCTGGAAATGTGGCAGTTTATTTTCTCTCAGAAGACACAGGAGTTTTTATATTTTTCAGTCTAAACCTATTCCTGAATCTGTATAATCACCCCTTACTTACAGTAAATGGCTTGGTGTCATTTTTCCCTCCAGGGAAATCCTTGTTGAAGTCCTCGTATAGGCTCAATGTTTTCTAGCACAACACATTGCTATCAATCAGAACATGTTTTTTGTTCATGTCTTTTGCCCACAAATTTAATGCCTTTTCTATCTTAACTGAGCACTTTTCATGCACCGTGGCCATAACTTTGGCATTTTGAGGTGCAACAGCAAAATTAGCACAGATTTCTTTTTTTATTTACAATTTCCTGGATTGAAGATTTGTTCTTACCGTAGGTCTTAGCATACTAGTATGTAATTTTTTCCTTAAGTCAAACTGTCAACTGTTTACTTAAAACAAGCACTTCTCAGCTTCTCTTTGTCATATCCAAATTAAAGTCATCGTTATTCTTGTGCTTATGAAGTAAAATAAGGGTTACTTGAACCCAAGCACTGTGATACCAGGACAGTCAACCTGAGAACCAAGACAGTTACTAAGTAACTAATGAGAATAGCATATATGGCATGGTATGTCGCACAGAGGGAGGTTTCATTCCATGAGTGAGACGGGGTGAGATCTTGTCATGCAACTCAGAAGAGCATGCAATATGAAACTTATGAATTGTTTGTTTTTGGAATTTTCTATTGAATATTTTGAATCCTCAGTTGACTATGGGTAATTGAAACTGCAGAAGCAAAACTGTAGATAGGAAGGGACTCCCATGATGATAGACAATATGTGTAACTAGATTTTCTTAGAGATACTCAGCTTTAATTAACTTAGTTAAATACGTTAGAATACAGTATCCTTAAGTTTCAATAAATATCATACAATAAATTTTATGAAAATTATAGAAGAATGAACTCTTCACAAATGATTTGTATTCCATATTATTACAAACTTTGTAGGCCGGGCGTGGTGGCTCACGCCTATAATCCTAGCACTCTGGGAGGCCGAGGTGGGCGGATTGGTCAAGGTCAGGAGTTTGAAACCAGCCTGAGCGAGACCCCGTATCTACCAAAAATAGAAAGAAATTAATTGACCAACTAAAACTATATATACCAAAAAAAATTAGCTGGGCATGGTGGCGCATGCTTGTAGACCCAGCTACTCAGGAGGCTGAGGCAGGAGGATTGCTTGAGCCCAGGAGTTTGAGGTTGCTGTGAGCTAGGCTGACACCAGGGCACTCACTCTAGCCCAGGCAACAAAGTGAGACTCTGTCTCAAAATAAATAAATAAATAAAATAAAAACTTTGTAGATTATTAAAAAAAAATCTGTTGGATACAGTGTTTATTCTGAATGCAACTTGGGAAAACATGGCAAAATATAAATCTATATATTTATTAGAAAATAATAATAAATCACATTTTGAGGAATGAAGTATAAAACTACAATGAAATATTATCTCACCTCAGTTAAAATGGCTTTTCTCAAAAAGACAACCAATAATGAATGTTGCCAAGGATGTAAAGAAAGGGGAACCCTTGTACGATGTTGGTAGTGATGTATATTAGTGCAACCACTATGAAGAACAGCATAGACGGTCCTCAGAATACTAAAATAGAATTACCATTTGACTCAGCAATCCCACAGCTAGGTATATACCCAAAAGAAAGGAATTCAGTATATCAAAAAGATATTCATTTTCTCGTGTTTATTACAACACTATTCACAATATCCAAGATTTGGAATCAACCTATAGGTCCCTCAACAGATGAATGGCTAAAGAAATTTTTGTCCATATACACAATGGAATATCATATAGCCATAAAAAAGAATGAAATCTTGCCATTTCCAACAACATGGGTGGACCTGGAAACCATTATGTTAAGTGAAATAAGCCAGACACAGAAAGACAAATCTCACATGTTCTCACTTATATGTGGGAGCTAAATATTAGAAACAATTGACCTCATGGAGATACAATACAATGATGGTTACCAGAGGCTGGGAAGGGTAACAGGGAGGGCATGATGTAGTGGGGATAGTTAATGAGTGCAAAAATGCAGTTAGATAGAATGAACTATATTTGATAGCACAACAAAGTGACTATAGTCAAAAATAAGTTTGGGTATGCTTTGAAATAACTAAGAGAATGGAATTGGAAGTTTCCTGACATGAAGAAATGATGAATGTCTGAGGTGACAGATACTCCAATTACCCTGGTTTGCTTAATTCACACTGTATGCCTGTATCAAAACATCACATGTACCGTATAAATATATACAACTATAATGTGCCCATAATAATTAAAAATAAAACATTTAAAAGAAGAATATACCCCATATATGTAATTATCATTTGTCAAATAAAAATAAAGTTCAATTAGATCAAAAAAACAAAATAGAACAACTATATAAAAAGAAGAAAAATTCCAAAGGTATGCAACAACCAAGACTCTAATCCACTAATAGAAATATAATCGTTATAACCACTCAGTAAATTCATTGGAATTATTTACTAATATCAAATATGGGCATATGCTGTGAACAAGCTTTGACATTCCCCATGTATGCACATATCTGAGAGATATGTTGTAGAATACTCATAGAAACACCATTCCTAATAACCCAAATTGCAAACTACCCAAATGCCCATTGGAAGAGAATGCATTAATAGCTGTTATTTCTATGCAATGATATAGTAAGCATCAATGAGAATCAACATTTTACTACTATAAGCAAGAATATCTGTGAATCCCAAAAGTCGGTAACAATGAACACAAAAAGTCAGGCAGAAAAAAATATGCATATAGTATAATTCCACTTATATAACATTTAAAATCTGTCAAAAATGATCCGTGTAAAGTAGTGATTTCCCTTGGGGGAGGAATGGTGGGTGTGAAGTAAGTTGGGGCACTTGTGAGGTGCTGGTAATGTTGTGTTTCCTAGATTTGGTGCTGGTTACATGGTTGTGTTCAGTGTGTTCAAAGAAAGTCTTTTGAGCTGTACAATTTTATGCACATATTTTTGTTAATAGGTTATATACTTCAGTAAAATTTTACTGAATAAATAACTAGAAAAATCAGGATCTTTGTAATCTTTAGAGGGGAGAGAAGATAAGGAAGTATCCTAAATTGCTTTGGGAATTCTAACAGGATCTGTTTTGAGACCTGGATAGTGGGTATATGCATATTCGTTTAGTCAATTTATTCCTAATTTTGCTAACATGTTTTTCTTGATACTTTTCAAAGTTGTATAATATCTCAATTTTTGAAACTGTAATAAAATGATCAAAGGGCATAATATGCCTACAGAATCAGAAGATATATGCACACATACACATTTGCATATGTTATGTATAGATATAAAGATACAGATACAGATATATATGTACAGATATGTATTTTCTTTATATGTATAGAATATACATACTAGATGGAGAGACATGAGTCAATTAAAAATGATCCAAGAAGAGTTCCATAGTTCCAAAGAAACTATAATTTAGCAAGGGTCTTGGATGGGGGGTTCTCCAAGTCTATTATTTTTCCTAAAACATTATGCAGTCCTATTAATGTATTCATTTTTTAATTATTGATGTAACAAATAGGCTGAATGCAGCAAACAGCATTTAAGACACATATACAGCACCACATTATTTAAACAAATATGCATAAAAGATAGAGAATCTATGGAAAATGTACCATTGTAGTTTTTAGTTTATGAGCCTAAATGATTTTTTAAAATTTTTTCCTATAATAGTTTACAATGTTTTAAAATTTATTTATATATGATTAAAGTGTGAAAAACATAAACTTATTTAAATATTTAGTAAGTCCTCACTGATTTATAATATGGTTCATTTCTAGATATATATTTATTTAAAAAAGGCTACAATGCACATCAGAACAACTGGCTTATTCTGAGTTTCTACATTCTTCTACCATTTCTTATAACTTTCACCATTGTGATCATTAAGAGAAATGAAATGAACAAATCATGCAACAGAGAGAGCACAGGATATAAGGGGTAAATATGACTTACATAATCAATATATTAGGTTAAATTGTGCTGATCATTGACCAGTGTCATAAATTCATACATGTTATATAATATTAGTTATATTAATTCCTAATATATAATATTTTTAACCTACTATAAGTAACATTTTTATAATTTTGTTTTCCAATAATTTTTCAATAGTACATTGGGGCAAATCGAAATTTTGACTGTTCTAGAACATTTCCTCATGAGTATTCCACACTGTATAGGGAACTTAATAAGTCAGAGAAGAAGATGTGTGGTGCATCATTTTATGTTTCTTTCTAGTTAAATTTATATTATGTCCAGGTGTTGGTTTTCTTTAGGAAAAATGTTTCCAATTTTAAAATTGTGTTAAAACTTTCATTATTATTTGAATTTCATAATTCTATCTGTTTAATAGTCTTAAATGCTATAAAAATCTAATTTCAACATTTCTTTGAGATTATATACTGTTTCCTATGAATCTATACATTCTATTCTTACTTTTGTCTTCCTCTTCTTCTGATAACCAAATATTTAACCCATTTAAGGCAAGAAATCCTCATATAGGTACTTAAATGTAATATCACAAATATCGATTTCAGCTTCAAAGTGCTGTTTTCTTTGAAGGGTATTATTTTTGGTTTATTTTATTAAGAGACTTTCACTAGTACACACATTACATCAGGAGTTCCCCAACTCCTGATAAGTTGTATAATTTTTGAGTTGTATAGTTATTTCATTATATATTACAATGTAATAAAAGAAAAAAATAAAGTCCACAGTAAATGCAATGTGCTTGAATCATCCCAAAACCATCCTCCCCACCAGCCTGTGGAAAAATTGTCTTCCATGAAAACAGTTCCTGGTACCAAAAAGGTTGGGGACCGCTGTGTTATATGTCTATTGTTCAGGTAGTGATGGATCTTATTCATTGAAAAAGGTAGTAATATAATTGAGCTACCGTGGCTCTTTACAGATAATCATTAGAGAAATGCAAATCAAAACCACAATGAGATATCACCTAACTCCAGTAAGATTGGCCTGTATCAAAAAATCCCAAAGCAACAAATACTGGTGAGGATGTGAAGAGATAGGAACACTCTTACACTGCTGGTGGAAGTGCAAATTAGTGTAACCTCTGTGGAAAAGAATTTGGAGATACCTCAAAGAGCTACAAGTAGAACTACCATTTGATCCAGCAATAGCACACTATTAGGCATCTATGCAAAGGAACAAAAGTCATTCTATAATAAAGACATCCGCACTCGAATGTTTATGGCAGCACAATTCACTATAGCAAGGATGTGGGAACAACCCAAGTGCCCATCAATCCATGAGTGGATTAATATAATATGGTATATTTATACAATAGAATGCTACCCAATTATAAGAAACAATGGTGATCTGGCACCTCTTATATTTTCCTGGACAGAGCTTGAGCCCATCCTCCAAAGTGAGGTATCATAAGAATGGAAGAATAGGCACTACATGTACTCGCCATCAGACTGGCACTGACTGATCAACACTAAGGTGCTCACACAGTAGTAATATTTTTGGGGGGTAGGGGGATTGGGTGTGGGTAAACTCATAACTAATGGAGGCAGTGAGCATTGTAAGTGGGGAAAGAGCATGTCTCAAATCATGGTTGGGATGTGGCAAAGTCATAACATGTAACCAAAATGTTTGTACCCCATAATTTCCTGAAATAAAAAAAATTAAAACAATAACAAAAAAAGAAAAGACAGGATTCAAAGGAATGCCTTATATGGGATACCATTGAGGAGATCTGGGTAATATATGTGCTAAATACATCTCTATAATCAAAAAATTTCTACTGCCCTTGTCTCAGTGAAAATCCATTTATGAACTCTTCCAGCAGGTCTGGGATATGTACACTTAGTTCTTTCAATTTTGTTCACTCTACAACTATCATATACCAGGAGCCATTGAAAGAAATATTTAAACTAGCTGGAACTAAAGTATGTCATCTTGTTGCAATATATTTATTTCCATCATGCATTACCTCCTCAATTGTATAAAGGGCACTGAAGCTCAGCAAACTCTACACATAGCTACTGGTAGTATAAAACCATGTGTCCAGTTGCCTGGCTTCACTAGCAGTTACTTGGGGTTGGCAACATAAAGCTTGATCCTTATGTAATCCTATTTCCCATCATTGAGTTAGTCAATTTCCTCTTAATGTCTTATGCTACTGGTAAAAAAAAAAATTGCCTTTGGAGTATTGTCACCTTTGCCTTGAGTGAAGATTTAATGCAAGATAGAATTGTATTAACTGTTTTCTTTCCTTTGATTATTTTTAAATTAATTTTCAAAAGAAACTTCGTATCCATTTCTTTGTTACTGTTTTTTTTAATGACCTCTGCAAACATGCTCTCCCAGTCCATGCTGTCCTTGACATAGTTGGTCTTTCATTTGAGTGAACTCGCATAAAATTAATAGACAGAATATTGGATCTTCTTATAAAATATGGTAATTTTCACTTGTAATTCTGTGCTTCATAAAAATAGTCAATGAAATTAACAAAAGAACAAACTAAGAAAGTTTTATATTAAGTGAAACCCTTAGTGGCACTAGAAGGTAGAACACAGTGAACAACAACAAAAAAATGAGAAGCTCTAGCCAGGCTGGTGTTAAGCAGTGATAGTAGGAAGAACCTTATCCTTTTGGCTTCAAGTGCATCCTGAAGATGAGAGATGACCATTTAAAATTTGGTTGAAGGCCAATTACAATCCAAACTTAAGTCCAAAATTTCACAACAGGTAGCAGTCCAATTTTACTGTGTGTGAGTGTGTCTATGGGGAAAGGAGGTGGTAATTGTATCTAATTTTTTTGTTACTTACATTTTTCTAGCTACTACCATGTTTCCCCCAAAATAAGACCTACCCATAAAATAAGCCCTAGCAGGATTTCTAAGCATTTGCGCAATAGAAGCCCCACCCCGAAAATAAGACCTAGTGATGGGCGTGGCTGTGCAGCATATCTGCACAACCCTTGCATTTCCTCGCAGAGGGGTAAAAAACACGAGCAGCCCTTCTCATCTGCCGCATGAAAGCTCTATTGCTCGCCATGAGAGATTGGGGCCAATGATTCTAAAGGAAATAGAGTCACAAGAAATTCAGGATGGAATTCAGGGTTTGGAGAGTTATGATGATGTTCCAGAAGAAGACGACTTAACTATATTTGAATAAATGTAGATTGTTGTACTGTACTCAAAAAAAAACAAAAAAAACAAACAAAAAAAACACATCCCCTGAAAATAAGCCCTAGGGTGTCTTCTTGAGGAAAAATAAATATAAGACCCTATCTTATTTTCAGGGAAACACGGTAGTGAGGATGTAAATCTATTTTTATCCAAGCCATTCTGTCTTTCTGTGTAGAGAAATAACTATTGACATCTTTCGATCTCTTTTCCCTATTTGTTTATCTTTTAGCTTTTGTAAAAGTTATTTATGTATATGATTTACTAATGTGTTTTACTGTACATCCTATGGATTCTTGATGAATTTATAGAGTAATTAGAAAACTGATTGCATTAAGTATTGTATATTTTTATCATGGAACATGTGTAACAGAAAGAAGCTCAAAAATACATTAAATGATTTTCATCACATATGAACTGTTGATTTGCATTGATAGGTTGAATTTGCATGTGAATTCTATAAAACATACAAATTCACATATATATCGTGGGTATGAACAGGTTAAAAATATATCCAAGTAAATATTTGCATATTCACCAACAAATTAAGACATGGGATGTTACCAGTAACACCATTTGGTTCTGAGCTTTCCTTCATGGGAAGAATTTTAATTACTACTTTAATGTCTTTATTTGTTGTAATCTATTCAGAATATCTATTTTTTATTAAGCCATATTTGGAAGCTTATGTCTTCAAGAAACACATCTATTCCATCAAAATTGTATAATTTGTTGCAGAAAGTTGTTCATAGTGTTTTCTTTTAATCATTTTAATTTCTATAATGTCAGCAATGAATTCTTGTACTTTATTCCTGATTTTATTCATTTATGTTTTCTCTCTTTTTTCTTGTTCAGGCTTATTAAGGCTTTGCTAATTTTTCTGATTTTTAAAAATTATTATGGGCACATAATAGTTGCATAGTCTTTATAAGGTACATGTGGTGTTTGATACAGGCATACAATGTGAATTAATAAAATCTAGATCCAACTTTTTATTACAAGACTTTCCTCTAGCGTTCTGTTTCCATTTCACTGACTGCAGGTTAATACTTCTTATCTACTTTGTTTTGCTTGTTTGGTGATTGGTTAGTTCTTCTTTTTCTAGTATTGTAAAGTCAATGCTTAGATGATTGTTTTGAGGTATTTTTTCTTCTAGCATAGGTATTTAACCTATAAATTTCCCTTTAGGTTTAGCTGCAACCTGTCCAACCTATACATTCTGATATCATATGTTTTCATTTCTATTCAGTTAAATATATTTTCTAGTTTTTCCTTGTCATCCTTTCCCTTTGACTCTTTGATTAATTAGAAATATGGGGGTTTTTTGGAAGATTTTTAATTGTTGCTCCAATTTCTGTGCTTGATATTGATCTCTTCAGGAATTCTATTTCCTCCTGATTGAGCTTAGGGAGGTTGTGTGTTTCTAAGAATTTGTCCATTTCCTCCACATTTTGCAGTTTTTAGGCACATATATTTTTATAGTATTCGCAGATAATGTTTTGTATTTTCGAGATGGCTGTTGTGGCCTCTCCTTTTTCCATTTCTGATTGAGTTTGTCAAAGTCCTTTCCTTTCTAGTTCTTGTTAATCTAGCAAGAGGACTATCAATTTTATCTTTCGATAAACCAACTTTTGGTTTTATTGATCTTCTGTAGAGTTCTTTTGTTCTCAATTTCATTTAGTTCTGCTCTGAGCTTAGTTACTTCTTTTATTCTTCTATGTTTCTCTTCCTTTTCCAGTTCCTTGAGACGGTTTATTAGTTTCTTGATTTTTGAGCTTTCTGTCTTTCGGATGTTAGCAGTTAATGCCATTCGTTTTCCTCTGAGGAATGCTTTTGCTGTACAGCATAGTTCAAAGAATCTTTTTATTTCCATCTGGACTTCCTCCTCGAGCCAGTAGTTATTCAGCGATAGATTGTTTAATTTCCATGACTCTGTGAAGCAGTGAGTGTTTCTGTTGGAACAGATCTCTAATTTTTACCACTATGGTCTGAGAAGATACATAGTACAATTTCTATGTTTTTTAGGTGGTTGAGGTCTGATTTGTGGCCTAGGATGTGATCGATTTTGGTGTAAGTTCCATGAGCTGATGAGAAGAATGTGTATTCAGCTTTATTTCTATGGAATGTTCTGTAGATCTCTGTTAGACTCATTTGTTCTAGAACTCTGTTTAAATCCATTATTTCTTTGCTTAGTTTCTGTTTGGAGGGTCTGGATTTTAACTCCAGAGCGATTTTACTTTGGTGAATGTCTACTGTGCTGTTCAATGTGTAATGCAGGCCTGAGTACTTCCTGCAGGGCAGGTCTGGTCTTCACAAATTCCACCAGCGATTGCTTGTCTGGGACAGTCTTTATCGTACCTCAAAGAGCTAAAAATAGAAATACCATTTGATCCAGCAATCCCACTACTAGGCCTCTATCCAATGAAAAAGACATTCTATAATAAAAACATCTGCACTCAAATGTGTATAGCAGCACAATTCACAATTGCAGAGATGTGGAAACAACCCAGGTGTCCATCAATACATGAGTGGATTAATAAAATGTGGTATATGTATACCATGGAGTACTATTCGACTACAAAAAACAATGGTGAACTAGCACCTTGTGCATTGTTGGAAAGGTTTTAGTCTGCCCACATCCTCTTGAAGTTTGTTATTTTCTGCTTTATAATAATTTCGTTTAAATAGCAGTCATCCTAATGGGTGTGAGGTGGTATATCACTGTGGTTTTGATTTGGGTTTCCCTAATGATTAGTGATATTGATCATGTTTTCTTGTGCTTATGGGCCACAGGGGATGAGGAGTTATTCTTTAACAGGTATAGAATTTCAGTTTTGCAAGAAGAAAAGATTTCGGGAGATAGTAGTGATAGTTGCAAAACAATCTGGGTGTACTTAATATCACTAACTGCATACTTAAAAATGATTAGGCCAGCCATGATGGCTCACGCCTGTAATCCCAACACTTTGAGAGGCCAAGGCAGGAGGATGACTAAAGTCCAGGATTTTGAGACAAGCCTAGGCAACATGGTGAGACCCCCATCTCAAAAAAATTATGTGGTAAATTTTATGTTATGTGTATTTTACCACAGTAAAAATATATTAATGTAAAATAAAGAAATTGTAAAAGAATTGAAATTAGGCAAGTCACCAACCTAAATATTAGCCCATGTTAATAATTCTATTATCTTTCCATGTGTGCACTCCATATTGCTGGAGAAAAATTTATGACTAACCATTCATTTAGTGTCCTTAAATAAGGTTTTTCTAAGAAACAATGTGTACAAAACTGAATAAATTGATGGTCATTGATTATTTTTACATTGTTATTTTATAATTGTAATTTTTTTGCCTAAATATTAATTTACAAATCAATACTAAAGTAACAAATGCACACATACATTTTACCATTAGCTTTTTATTTGAACTCCTTATACCGTTTTCTAAGAATCAAACTTACCTATAATAGAACTGATTTTACAGTGTTTGTGTTTTGACCTGAGACTTAGAGCAGATATGCACAAAAGCAGGCAATTACCTGTTACTATTGTGAATTTCTATTTTTTCTGTTCTCCTCCCCTACAGTAATTCATCCATTGCACCAGAAAGCTATGACGTGGTATATTGATACTGCCAAGAACTTCACCAGCAGGTGGTCTGGAGGAGAACTTGTGATTCATAACCCTTCTTTCGCCTTTGAATGCATTTTAAATGTCAAACTTTTGGAAAATAAAGCCCATGTGTGCAGAAACGCAGGCTCTCGTGTGCCTCCACAAGTACAGCGGGCTGTGGTGGGCAGTCCCGGGACTGCAAACTCCGCTGGCCGCTTTGGGCCTAGTCTACACCCTGTGTCCCCCACTGCCCTGTGGCTCTGCTCTGCCTCCCTGGCCCTGGCAAGTGCCCGGAGGCCAGTGGCCACAAGCTGCCTCCATTCCACCCCTAAAAGCCATTACTGTGATGAGCTCGGCTGGCCAAGCAATGCTGCCTTTTTTGGTGATCCTCTAAGGCCTGCTCCAGCTGACCTCCGTGGGTCACTGTAAATGAAGACTCTTGCTCTGTAAGAGGATGGCCTTTCCACAGTGCACAATGAGGAGGCGGGTGTTGCCCTCCTTGTTCCAGTAGCTCAGGCCAAGGTCAGAGGAAGGGTGCTAGAGCCTGTTCAGTTTCAGGGCCTCAGAGCCATGGGGGGATCCTGCTGGGCCTGGGGGTCGGAGGGCTCAGTCCAGAGCTGGGGCAGCTGTCTTTCCCTGACCCTGCACAAGAGGGCGTGCGTCTCCTGGGGAGATGAGGAAAGGAGGAGGCCTGGGTGAGGTCAGAGATCTGTAGGCCATACTTCTCCCACTCAGGGCTGAGGTTACCATGCCCTGAAATGTCTCTGGACAACAGTAGGATAATACTCCCACTTGTAGAAGAGCTTCTTCCAGGAATTGGAGAAAGTATAGTTGTGTGTATGGTGTGTGTGTGTGTGTGTGGGGGGTGCTTGGAAGTTTAAACATGATGCGAGATGAGCAGACAAGTGAAGAATGAGGGTACTGCTATACCCTGGAAATGCTCACGTTGTGCTCACTGTAAATTCTGAAACACCACTCTGCTAATTACGGTTCCACAGAATGCTGGGACAAGCACCAAGTGAGGGTGATATTTGGATACATATCCATTTATAAAATTATGTTTGTGTTCATATCATTTTTGCAAGGAGCCATTGTGTCTGAATAAGAGCAAATGTTTTTAATTTTTTTCATTATTCACCAAGTAATTTATTAATGCTATGGGCATAATTTTTAACTATTTTAAAATACAGTCTCAGAAAGAAAATAAAAATGTCCCCAAATTTCTGGCGCACAGAAAGGCTACACAGCCTGTTGGACTTTCTTTTTAAACAATTTTATTGATATACAATTCACATAGCATGCAATTCACCCATATAAAGTGTACAATCTAATGGCTTTTATTATATTCACAGAATTGTTACCATCACCACAATCAATTATAGAACAATCAATTTCCATCACCCAAAAAGGAAACTGCAGGACCATTCGTAATCATTTTCTATTTCTCTCTCCAGCCCTCCATCTAACCTCTACTCCTCCCTCATCCTCCTGGCCTCAGGCAATCAGTTGTATACTTTCTACCCCTACATATATTTTATGCTGGACCTAAAAAGTGAAGGCAACAAAAATAAAAATAGTCAAACTGAAAATATTCTGCACAGCAAAGGAAATGACCAATGGATTGAAGAGATAATCTACAGTATAGGAGACAATATTTGCAAACTGTACAGCTCATAAGGGGATTAATATCCAAAATTTAAAAGAGACTCAACTCAATAACATGAAGACAAATGATCTGATATAAAATTGGGCAAAAGACCTGAAGAGACATCTCCCAAAAGAAGGCATACAAATGGCCAAGAAGCATGAGCTAAGATGCTCCACATCACTATCATCAGTGAAATGAAAATTAAATGAGATGGACATTTTATCTACAATAATATACACATTTAAACATTCATTCGTATATAAGTGAAGCCAAACTAATACATTCTTCCTATTCTCACAATTATTATGTTCTATAAAGTCTTACAACACTGAACGCATGAACACCGCATCTTCGCTCCTAGGGGGAATAAGTACATATCTCACGTAGTGTATAATCTTAAATCATGAAAACAACCTGTGCTGGCATATTCTGTTTTCTGCAGTTTACAAACAAAGAAAAAAAGATTCAGAAGTGAAAAGTGACTTTCCTGAGGTCACCCCCATAAACAGGTGCCAGAGTAGAGACTGAAATGTGCTCCAACTCGTTTCAGAACCCCAGCTTCACATTCTATTATAAAGACATCTGCACACGAATGTTTATGGCAGCACAATTCACTATTGACGGTCATGGAAACAACCCAAATGTCCGTCAATTCATGAGTGGATAATTAAAATGTGGTGTATGCTCACAATGGAATATTACTCAATTCTAAGAAATGACAGTGAGCTAGCACCATGTATGCTATCGTGGATTAAGCTTAAGCCCGTTATCCAAAGTGAAACAACACGAGACATGGAAAATGGGCTCCACATCTACTCGCCATCAAATTGGTACTGACTGATTTAAACTTCGGTTTTCAAATGGTGGCAATACCCACCAGAGATTCGGTTGGGGGGGGGGACTCAATCTTAGGGATGGGACGAGCATTTTTGGAGGGGGAGGGCATAACTCTAACCCTTCTTAGGGAGAGGCAAAGATATACAATGTAACCAAAATGTTAAAAAAACAAAACAAAACAAAACTTTCTAGCAGGTGGTGGGCAGGCGGGAGTGGGGAGGAGGAAAGGGAGGTATGTTTCCATAACCTGTGCGATACACACCACCAGGGGATTGGACATTTCGGGGGGACGGAGGGGGCAGGAGCAATATTTGTAACCCTAACAATATTTGTACCTCCATAATATGATGGAATAAAAGGGAAAAAAAAAAGGACAGAACCCCAGCTTCTTGCACTACACTGCCCTGTCCTCTACCTTCCCCATCCCTGGGTCACCCTTGGTCGACCTCAGCTGGAAACGTGGGCCTTGAAGCAACTCAGATTTTTTGCAGCCTGTGTGTGAATTGAAATGACCATGAAAGTCCTCTGAATATTGATTTTGAGGTCACAAATAAATTTGAGCAAGTAGGAAAATTTACAAACATAGAATCTGTAAATCATAAGGATCACTATATTTATTTTGTACATGATTGAAAAATAATTATTAAATAAATAAGTTTTAAAAGTGATATGAGGCAGCTACTTTTCTCAGATTATATGATTATGTAGATTGAAAGCCTGAGAGATTTTATATATAAATTGTTAGACCTAATTAGAAAGTTTGGCAAGGAATACCTGGGCCCTGAAAAATATACTAGTATTATGATAATGGTGAGAAAGCTGAAATGCGTTCAAAGATGCATGCAAGTCTTCATCACTTACTAGCCATATTTCAAAATTAACATAACTTCTAAGTGTTCTGAATTTCCTTAAGTGTAAAATGCACAAAATGAAGTCATACCTAGCTCATAAGTATATTGAGAGACTTTCTGAGCTATTTTTTAAAGTGCCTAGTCATTATACATAAAACTTATTTTTTTACACTTTTTTCTATTGTCAGTAAGATACATTGTTATTAAAATATAGACTGCTGCTTTCAGTAACTAGTATACAAGACCACTACTTGATATTTAGAATGTAGAAGGCAAATTATACCTCTTTTGTTCTCAAACAATAAGATAAAGGAAAGACACAAAAAGAGATAGTTCATTGGTTTGTTTCCTATAATTTGTAGTAAATACAGTTGTAAAATTCATCATGAAGTTCTACATGCGAAAATCAATCAATGTCACACATCATATTAACAGAATGAAGGAAAAGAACCACATGATCATCTTAAATGATGAAGAACAAGCATTTTGCAAAATTCAATACCCTATAATGAAATGGTTCAATGAAAACAGGTGTATCTTCTGAGATACTGGGAAAATATGCATATATTTAAGTTTAAGGTTTCTTACATAGGTGAATACCTGATATTCACAGGATTAAAAAATGGTTAGCTGGGAAATAATTTGAAATGATCACTACCATTATCTAATCTCTGCTCTCATAAGTTAATTGGTAAATTATTCAAAATAAGTAGCTTAGGTAAATGTAAATGAGAAAACATCTATAAATGCAGTTTTATGTAATTTGACAACCTAAAGTGATGTTAAATTAAATAATAGATACCATTAAATGTGTAGATTATTTCCAAATAACAGAAACACTGAAACAAATCGCTGGATATGAATTTGTTTGCCATTGGCTTTTTAACTTTAATAGAAAGCCTAAATATTAGGATCTATGACTATATATACTATTTATGTTATAGGAATATATGTTTCAAAAATTTATAAAATGGTTCTCACCTGTAAAACACTGATATGTGATAAACAGTGCAAGATTTCCTGTTTCCTAGGCTTTCAATAAGATTTAAGGTTACTAACAGTTAAAATTTTAATTAATATATATAATTTTATAAAGCATGCCCCATATATGTATGATATGTTGTTAGAAATTATAAGAAAGGCATAAAAGTCAGTTCCCTATTGAACGATAGCATAATTTTGTCTAATTTGGAAGTTATGTAAAAGTTGTTTCAAAGTAAATGCTTACTAAGGAAATGGAAATAAGATGAAAAGGAGCTAGCAAGTAGGAGAGAGAGATGTAAAGAAAGCTATGGATATGAAGATATATTTTTGGTAAGGAAGGTTTAAAAGAAGAGAATATTTTTTGTACGAGAAAAATATTGTGTGGTAGTTGTTTTGTCTAATGCAAAGATTGGTTACTTCAGAAAGAGGATGTATATGACAGGGGAGAAATTCATAAGCATGTTGTGAATGGTGTTTGTAAGTTTGATAAGATTCATGAAAAGGAAATTTGTGAAAGGAATTTTGCATTTGATCAAGTTGAGTATAATTAAAATGGAATTATTCATAGTAGTCTTCCCAAAGTTTGAGTTTTGATATTAAAAATATTCTAATAAAAAGTTTTTAAAAACTGATCTCCTATGTTAGAACAAGGTTTTTTTGTAAGCACTGATTTGCTTTTAGTAGAATTGCAAGAGGTTTTGATTTATCAATTCTGAAATCTATTTTTTAATAGCCATCTTCTATTCTGTAGACAGTTTCTAGCTTACATTTCTTCCTGTGATCCAGTTCCTTTCCCAAATTCAAATTGGAAATGCAACTTGCCTTCTTTCTGCCCTTGAAAAGGTATACTTTCTTTCTTGGCTGGAGTGATTAATTCTCTCCTTCAATCTTTTGGTCAACTGCTGTAATTCTTTTTCTCTTGCTGTAAGTCTGCTGTTATGGCCTGATGCTAAAATGATTATCCCAAAATAATGATTCTCTCATTTTGTAGAGATATTACATAATCAGTCTTGTTATGACTAACAAATTAGTCTTATAGTATGGGAGGTATTGTCATATGAAAAGTAATCATATATATCTTGGTCAATTACTTTTATGGATATGTTATTAATATAAATGTTTAA